ACCGAGCCTGCGAGGTGGAGGCGGCGGGGCTGGGTTCACTCCCTGTGTCCCCGCACTGTGAGGGAGCGGGAAGGAAGCGTGCGTCCCAGGGCCCGGTCTGTCATGCTGTGGAACGATAATTGGATATTAAGTGGCTGCTTTATTCGGGGATTATTTCCCTTGAAATCTCTTCATCCCTTCAGCTGCCCACTTGGAGTGGGAAATACTTAACAAGGAAAATTATCTTGGCAATCTTCAATCTCAAACAGTTAAAAAGTTAAAAGACGAAAACCGTCTTCCGGTCTATGAATTAAGGTAGCTATTGTCAGCGTGGGGTAGGTTCTCTTCGGCAACATCCGCAGACATTTTTGGACGTCACTACTGGAGGAAAGGCGGGGGAATGTTGCTGGCTTTTAGTGGGTTGACGCTAAGGACACTGCCAGACATCCCATTAGGCCCAGGGCACCCCACAACTGCTATCCAGTGTAAAGGGGGATCGGTAGGCCCAGGGGGAGAAAGATTTACATGCATAAAGTACTGGAGCAAATTTTTATTTATTTATTTAATTTTTTGGGGGTGGGGAGAGGTTTTTGCTATAGGGCATGTGCACTCGGCAGAGAGACAAAGAGACAGAAATTGAGCAATCACCTCCCCCCCAGGGGGGATGGCCACGCCGCAATCCCTTCTCCTCCATTCTCCTCTTGGAATCTTGGGCACACACGCACATGCGCGTGGCCTGAGTTTAAGCCACTGCGCCTGGGACTGGAACCATGGTTGACTACATGGGAGTCCAGCGACATAGCCATTACGCCAACTGCTGGTCCCCTGAAACAAATTTTATGTTTGTCGGTTGAAAAATGATAATTGAAATTGTTGTGCAAACAATATTGCCTTTTTAAAAAGATGAAAGATACCGAAAACTACAAAGATATTGTAAGAACTGTCCCACATAGGGCCATCATTCCTAGTCAGCCATGATAGCATGGCACTTTAGCAGCATTCACCTTAGACTTTTTTAGTACGTTTGCATGTTTTATGGGGAAAAAATTGAACACATTGTTTAAAAGAATTCCTAAAATATATCCTTACAAAAATATTTACGATACAGCTGGCACCTTTTGATTCCACTCCCCTATCCTGCTATCTGCCCCATGGTCTGGAATCACTGGTCATTCATAATATGGCACAAAATCTTTACAGTTTTGCTATTTGAGTTTTGGACCAGACTGCCTGGGTTTGAATCTTGTCTCTGTCACTTCTTATCTGTAGATCTACGAGAGAATCCTAAAAACTGTGCCTCAGTTTCCCTGTCTGTAAAATGGATAGTACTAGTGCCTGTGGTATGAGGCTATTGTGAGGAATAAATTGATCTGAAGTGCTTAGAACAGTACTTAACAGTATATTCCCTGAGAAAGCACTCAGGGAATGTAGCCATTTTAGGTAAACAGGAAATATGTTGTTTTATGTGTTTTAATTTATATGGGTAATGTACCTCAGTACACATTTGTTGGGTAACATTTTTTTGTTTAATTTTTGCTATGGGGTACATGTGCTTACCAGAAACACACAGAAAAGGAGAAAGTGAGAAATCATCTCCCAGGGGCAATGACCACACTGCAGTCCCTTCTCCTCCATGCTCCTCTCGGGATTTGGGGCATACATGTACATACCCCTGGTGTGTTTCTCAAGCTGTTAGGTCCAGGACTTGAATAGCAAAGTTGGCCATGTGGGATCCAGCTACCTTAACCACCACACCATCAGCTAGCCTGGCAACGTAATTCTTTTTCACTCATTTCTTTGGGTTGTTTGAAAAGTTATGACACATTTTTGCTTTGAAAAATATGTCATGACTTTTCCAATGACTCAATATATTTGAAACCTAGCCACGATGACATATATAGGTCTAATTAATTCCTTTTTAATGTGTGATAGCCATCTATATTTATTTATTCCCTTATTGGTCACTGAAATTTTTTATTTTTTATATTGCAAATAATAGCATAGTGAGCATTCTACAGCAGTGTTCTTGTGAATATGTGGGATTATTTTTCTGGGTTCATATCTAGAATTGAAATATATATGCTTTTCAGTTTATTGCTAAATTACCTTACAGTGTCATCTCTTCCTTTTATTAAGTACTCATAATTATCTCTTGTTAGCTCTGTTTCCCGTCTCACCTTATATATCAGTATCATGTTCATAAATCAGTATTATGTTCATAAAATTACATTCAATATTAGGTATCATTATTAGTTCCACTATTTACTAAAGATACCTTCTCTTGGTCACAATCAACATGGTTTCTAACAGACTTTTTTGGATTTCACCTGTAGATAGTATAGTGCTCTTATAGGATCTTGTGGAGCCACACTGATAAGTTATTTAAAGAGTTCTGAGATTTATAGTGCCAAAGTGAATTTGTTAGCATTTAAAAGGAGTACCGTGTCTTTTGGCAGGGAAGGTGGTCAGGAGGGTGGTTAGTAGATGAGGGTGATGATTTATTGCCAACTTAACGATATTTACATTAGCATAAATATGTTATCATTTTTCTAGTGTAAATACACATCTGATTTAATTTTGTGTGTAAAGTAGATACAATCAACTTTGAAGTATAATGTACATATTAGGAGAAGCTCAAATAAATTGTATAGTAGTTAACAACAAAGCTGCTTCCAAATCCCCCCCACAATAGCTACAACAGGAGATTAAACTTAACTGATTTGAATTACCTGTTTTCTTCTGCGGCCACTGTAGTAATAGTACTAAGTAAAAGGTCAAATAACCCATAGACTGGAATAGTAAGCCTGGTGCCCCCATAATCAGGATTTGTTTAATCAGGGGTTGCGTATATTGGACTAAGAACATCTAAATTAAATCATAGATTGACTTGTTTCCAGATATATTTATGTCTGTTCAAAAATGCCACTAATTCCATAGTCCTGCAGATTTTATGAACATATGCCAAGAACTTTTACTTTATTTTTTTAAAGGTTTTTGCCATAAGGCATGTGCACTCACCAGAGAGAGAGAGACAGTGAGAGGGAAAGTGAGAAATCACTCCCTGAGGGGATGGCCATGCTGCAATCCCTTCTCCATTATCTTCCTGGGATCTTGAGCATATATGCATACGTGCCCACCATGATTTTTAGACTACTTGGTCTGGAACTTGAACTGTGGTTGGCCATGTGGGAGTCCAGCACCTTAACCACCATACCACCTGCTGGCCCCAAGAACTTTTGCTCTTAAAATAGGTGTTGCAGCAAGAATACTTAAGGTCTACTCTTTCATGAATTAGTGGCTTACATTGGAGATATTGTAGGTTCAGTTCTAGAACACCATAATGAACTGAATATCACAATAAGGGGAGCCATGTAGATTTTTTTCTTTTTGGTTTCCTATTGCATATAAAAGTTATGTTTGGGGCCAGCAGGTGGCATCATAGTTAAGGCGCTGGAATCCAATGTGGACAACCACAGCTTGAGTCTTGGACTCAGTGGCTTGAAACTCCCACCAGGTGTTCGTGCATGCACATCCAAAATCCCAAGAGGAGAATGGAGGAGAATGGATTGTGGGATGGCCATCACCCCTGAGGGGTGATTTCTTATTTTCTCTCGCTCTCTCTCTCTCTCTCTGTCAAGCGCATGCACCCTATACCAAAAATCTCTCAAAAAATTGTATTTACACTATAGTGTAGTATATTAAGTGTGGAATGGCATTATGTCTAAAAAAAAGGTGTGTACTTTAATTTAAAAAGTCCATATTACTAAAAAGTGCTAATGATCATCTGAACCTTCAGCAAGTCTTAATCATTTTGCTCGCAGAGGGTCTTGCCTTCATATTTATAGCTGCTGACATATCAGGATGGCAGTTGCTATAGATTGGGGTGACTTTTAGTGACTAGATGTCAGGGACACTGCCTCTATCCACTTTTGAAAAAAATTTCAGAGGGTTTGTATGTGAACATTGCGAGAGAGAAAGAACACCCTACAACAGGACCTGGTCATTTCACGATCCTGTTAGTTTCAGTTCTCCATCCTGTCAGGTTCTTGGACATGTATGCTCTCACCATGCATCTTTTCCGGCCTACAGGGCTTGAACTTGAACTCTGGTTGGTTATGTGGTATCTGGATCCCTTTGTATTAAACCTAACCACTGCACTACAGAATCAGCCTGGTTGTACCAATTTCTTAAAATAAGACAACAATGAAGTTTGCTGCTATTGATTGACACTTCATTTCACAAAAGATTTCTCTGTGGCATGTGATGTTGTTTGATAGCTTTTTGCCCACAGTACAATTTATTTCAGAATTGGAGTCAATGCTTTCAAACCCTGCCACTGCTTTATCAACTAAGTTTATGTAATATTCTAAACCCTTTGTTGTCATTTCAACAATATTCACAGCATGTTTACCAAGAGTAGATTATATCTCAGGAAACTGCTTTCTTTGGTCATCCATGAGAAATTAAGTCCTTACCTGTCAAAGTTTTATGATGAGATTGTAGCAATTCAGTCACACCTTCAAGCTCTGTTTCTAATTTTAATTATTTTGCTGTTTCTCCCTCATCTGCAGTTGCTTCTTCCACTGAAATCTTGAACCCCTCTATTATCCAAGAGGATTGGAATCACCTTCCAAACTCCTGTTTATGCTGATATTTTGACCTCCTCCCATGAATCATGAGTCATCTAAATGGCATCTATTAATAGAATAGTGAACTATTTCCAGAAG